ACAGACCTCTAAACTTGATAAACTGTAAACGACAAACACTTTCAAACAAAGAAAAGACACTATCACAAGTATTGATCAAGTGAAACGGAATGCAGCTCCTGAGTTCTTTAATCATTTAAAATACATTAGCAGAACTTCCCCAAATGCATGTAATTGCTGCAACTCTTCTCGGTATTTAAGTGAGCCTTCGTGGACAATATTCGTCAATTCATGGTGCTATTGTGAACCAGCGCTGGACTTGATGGTGAAGACCGATTTAATGCTCGTACATCAGCGCCAGAGAATCAATACCCACAGAAGTTCCAGTAGTGAAGGTCTTCCAATCACATGCCGGCGTCAGCATATTGGTGGCGCCAACAGAGGGAATGTGGTTAGAAGGTGGGAAGTGTGAAATGATTGGAATTACTTTAGAGCAACTGTAGATATCAACATTGATTTCCAGAGGATCATTTATGAGAATTCAACATGCTGAGTTCACTACAGTGAAACCCTCTGATACTGGACACTGTTAATCTGGAAACACCACTTTTGTAATGATTCTGGTTAGCTAGGCTACATGCTGAGAAACAATGACCTATTAATCCAGACATGTTTTTATCCTTACAGAACGCTGCTGTCTGGATTAACAGGGATATTCAACTCTTCTGTGTGGGAGATACTGTCTTACTGCATGTTTTAAATGGATTCCATTGAAATGGAAACATAATTAAATTGACTCCTAATGTTCAAAGACATGAAGGTTGACTTCATCTGTTTAGGCCTTAGAATATAAAAGCTTTCCCAGACCTCTTAAACACAGACTAAAAGCACAGGAATGTCATTAACGGAATCTTAGAAATACATTTTTTTTCCCCTCCAAATACAGACAGCACTATATGTAATTAGAAAACAATCCATGCTCACTAACACACTAAGACTTCAAAGAGGTTCCTGAAATGATTTTTTTTATCATTTCCATAATGATCACGTGATACACATGATTTATGGTGTTGTCAAAGTTACACTTCACACTTATACAGAACACAAACATAATATACCTGTGGTAAACAAGTATTAGATACCATGATTTAATCAAGTCTGGACCAGGTAAACCAGTGGTAGATACCATGATCAAGTCTGGACCAGGTAAACCAGTGGTAGATACCATGATCAAGTCTGGACCAGGTAAACCAGTGGTAGATACCATGATCAGGTCTGGACCAGGTAAACCAGTGTTGGATACCATGATCAAGTCTGGACCAGGTAAACCAGTGGTGGGTACCATGATCAGGTCTGGACCAGGTAAACCAGTGGTAGATACCATGATCAAGTCTGGACCAGGTAAACCAGTGGTAGATACCATGATCAGGTCTGGACCAGGTAAAAACCAGTGGTAGATACCATGATCAAGTCTGGACCAGGTAAACCAGTGGTAGATACCATGATCAAGTCTGGACCAGGTAAACCAGTGGTGGATACCATGATCAGGTCTGGACCAGGTAAACCAGTGGTAGATACCATGAGATCAGTGGTAGATACCATGATCAAGTCTGGACCAGGTAAACCAGTGGTGGATACCATGATCAAGGTCTGGACCAGGTAAACCAGTGGTATACCATGATCAGGTCTGGACCAGGTAAACCAGTGGTAGATACCATGATCAAGTCTGGACCAGGTAAACCAGTGGTAGATACCATGATCAAGTCTGGACCAGGTAAACCAGTAGATACCATGATCAATCCACCAGTAAACCAGTGGATACCATGATCAAGTCTGGACCAGGTAAACCAGTGGTAGATACCATGATCAAGTCTGGACCAGGTAATTAAGTCTGGAGTGGTGATACCATGGTAAACCAGGTAAAACCAGTCAAGATACCATGATAAACCAGTGGTAGATACCATGATCAAGGTCTGGACCAGGTAAACCAGTTGGATACCATGATCAAGTCTGACCAGGTAAGCCAGTGGACGTAATACCATGTGGTGGATACCAGAGCAACCATGTTCTTATTTAAAACCAGATGAAGTCTGGACCAGGTAAAGAAGTGGTGGATACCATGATCATGTGCTGGACCATAAAACCAGTATGCTTGTCGTAACTGTGGTCTGGACTAACCAGGATCGGGTGGTAGATACTCATGATCTTCTGGACCCTGTGGTGAATTAGACATCATGGTTCCCAATTGCAGCAGATCGATGCTCATGCTGTTGATCACTGGATTGTCTGGTCCAGACCAGTATTGATTACCATGATCAGGTCTGGACCAGGTAAACCAGTGGTAGATACAATGAACAAGCTCATGTTCTTATTTTACAGTATTTTCAGCATATGTACAGACAAATATAAGCTCATCTAACAAGAATTTTCTGAATCTATCAGGCACCAGATGAATAACTAGTCCTATACATTGCATCAATATCGGGAATCAAACTCAGCCATCAGTCAACCCGACAAACAACTGGATTACCCTCTGTATGTGACAAAGACAAATTTAGAGGAGAGAGTTAGACACAGTCATTTCCTTAACAGGCATAACTTCTATCAAAAATATAAATGAACAAAACTCCATCCAACCAAACAACCCAACTTGGACTCAGCTCTGCATCCCACCAATCAGAAGTAGAAGACACATAAAAGTGTACTTTGTGCAATAAATCCTAAAGTAACAAAAATATTAGCAATTTAGCCCAAACTGTCCCCTCCCATCCATCAAGCTTTATTGATATGCTACCTGACATTCATCCAGGCCTGACATCTTATCAATCCTATAGTACCAAGCTGTGGCATGGAGTATTGGAAATATAATCAAGTTAATCCATGCAGGGCGTTATTCCCTTCCACTGTATTCCATGTCATGTTGGATAAATCAATAATCAATGCCGACCACTCAGAGGTTTAAGTGGGACGAGATGGGACACTGACATGGGAACAATCAACACTTCAACAGTCATATATTCAATGAGGGAAATAAAGGAACGTGAGAAGGGGAGCAAGGTGAAGGCCATTCATTTGGCATTGCTCTGACTCATCACTTTGTTTCTATTCTATTTAAGTACCTTTTTGTTAATATCACATGTTTATGTTGAAAATGGAAGAAATCCTCTCCTTTCATATTAAGAGATCCTCCCATGTGATAACTATGGTATATGTTAGAAAATTGTACCATAGGTCATGTGATAATATTATTATAGAATATACATTTATATGTACCATTAGCATATATAATTTATCTCATTGTGTTATCATGTAATATGCATGTTCCCTTATATCTTTCCATCAGTATAAGTAATAAACCTACACCAGACTTTATTTTAAAATCAGATTGCGACTTGTTCCCTTATTTATTTTGATGAGTATATTCACCTTTTCTTTTGTCACAGTCCACATGACAGCACCATAATACACATTGTTCCATATACTCTTATTTCCTTCTGTCAGTATGTCTTTTACAGCTGTCCATGTGACAACATCACACGCATCGTGACAAGTCCCTCGTATTCATCTAAGTAAGTAACACTCCGGCTCAGCGATGACTTAGCATAACATCACTGCAACAGGCTAATTTGCATATCACGTGACCAGACTTTTCTCTTGTTTGTAAACAAACGCTCATATTCATAATAAGAAGACATTGGCCTTACGCAAGCTTTTCGGCACGCTCTTCAGAATGTTTTACATTGTTACATATATATTCTTACACAACTCCGACAATAATATTGATGACAGTACATATTAAGATATCAAACTGGATGCATCGTTTGCTCTCTGTTGGCTTCGATGACAGTACGTGAAGCCGTACAACCTATGTAAACAAAGTATCACTACGCGAAAATAGATATAGTGTTACATGTTTTAGGATATTCTTTCAGTAAAACTAAACCATTCTAACAAAGATGTTTAATTAGATGTGTAGACTCGTCAAAAATAAAAGAGTTAAGGAATATGTAGATTATATTGAATGGATGGTGCAAGATGTGACAAATCGTCACATCTTTCTGGCCTGTGGCAGAGGTACTATGCTGGCTTGCCGCATGGAACTCTGGGTAGGAGAGTGCTAAGTAAGTATATGTAACTTGTCCTTCACCAAAGTCTTTGTGGAATACACAATAACCTTCAAAGTTATCTTGCCTTATGGTTCATGATGCCATCAATATTTTTATGCAACACTTAAACAATACAATGACTCAAAGACGTGTACCTTCAAGTATCCCTAAATTGAAAAATGGTATATATACAGAAGAACCCTCTCATGGTTTTGATTAAGGATAATCTGAATGAAGGTAGCATGCAGTTCCTCAGGTTTCCAGTTCTACCAGGAAAACATGCTAAACAAGGTACCGTCCAATGAACTGCCTGTCTTCAAACAGTTCTGTAGAATATTGCTTTCAGTGCCTGACAACAGATCAGGCGGTTGTGTGATCCATTCCTGTGATCTCTGATGAAACTTTAATTAGTGTAGTCTACAACTTGAGAACATTGGACTCTTTGAGCACTGAGTTAAAAGTCCATGGGCAACTAAAATCATCATGTCTGACAAGGAAAAAGTGAAACTTCAACAATGTCTTAAAAAGACAATATAAAACCTCAACATCTTAGTAAGACAATATAAAGCTTCAAACAATGTCTTAGTAAGACAATATAAAACCTCAATGTCTTAGTAAGACAATATAAAGCTTCGAACAATGTCTTAGTAAGACAATATACAACCTCAATGTCTTAGTAAGACAATATAAAACCTCAATGTCTTAGTAAGACAATATAAAACCTCCAACAATGTCTTAGGATGAAAATATACAACCTTATACAATGTCTCAGTATGACAATATGAAACTTCCAACAATGTCTTGCCAGGGAAATACTAAAGCCTCAAACTCAGAATGAGGTCTTACTTGGGAAAAGTAAATGTTCTTGAGAGGATATTACAAAGAGACAAGTAATTTCCAAAACAATGACCAATATCGGTGACATGTTTAGAAGTGTCTGGCGAACCCTGCCAATAGCTGAATGCCTTGTCTTACCTTGGGCAGTATTTCCTTCAACACTCCTGGGTCCAGAGCCTGCAAGACAAGTGTACAGTGATTACAGGGTTACACAGTAGCAGGGGCGGTAGGCTAGCCTAGTGGTTAAAGCGTTCGCTCATCAAGCCAAAGATCAGGGTTCGATTCCCCACATGGGTACAATGTGTGAAGCCTATATCTGGTATCTCATGTCATGATATTGCTGGAATATTGTTGAAAGCGGCGTAAAACCATATTCACTCACTAGTGGTGGTCCAATTAATTGAAATAATCGAAGATTGGTCGCAGTGACTAAACGACCAAACAATCGATCATGTTTTCTCATAATCGAACACAAACAATTCTGGAACACTTTTTGCACTAACAATATTTTTCACAAGGTTGGTTTTGTAAGTTACATTTCATAACCACTACAAGCTTGTTCCAAGTCATGATTGAAGTTATCTTAAAGACTCAAGGAATTTTATGTTCCAAACATACTAGTTAAGTAGTAATCCTTTTAAGATGTGAAATTTGCCACACGAAAAACCCCAAAAGAACTACATGTTTTTTCATTATGTTTTTTTTTTCATTAACAAAAAACAACTACAAAAAAACAGGAAAATTTCATAAACGACGCTAACCAATTATTTTCGATGATTGATCGGTTGTAATGAAGCAATCATCAATTATGAGGTTTTAACCAATTCCCAACACTACCACTCACTAAACAGTAATACCTAATGCTATGGCAAACAATTAGTTTGGAATCCTTGGCATATCTGTGTACTTTCATCCAAGACATATTTTCCATCTTCAGCCCAAATATAACATAGTGCGTCCGTAACTGTTTAATAAAGAAGGTCTCAGACTTTCCACACTACTGCTAAATAATTCAAAGGGCAGATTAAAGAACTTTCATTTTAACAAGAATCTGAGGCAGTTCTCTCTCATATAATACTTGTCAAATTTGAGTATCATCATCTTTGTAAAATAAATATTTGGTTGAGTTCTGCTGAACATCCTGTCACATAATGCCTCAGCAAATATTTGAAATGGATCTATTCTCAGAAGAAAAATGGGTGCTGCTGTACAACCTGTCCAACAAGTCAATCAACATCAATTAGGTAACAGTAGATATCATATAAATCGACCTAATCTAATCAAACTGATTACAAATGATTCGGTGCAGGTTAATTAACAGCAATTACCTAATTACAGGTAACAAAAAGCAATTACAGTTGAACTGAGCACAAGCGAAAGTAAATTACATAACACTAGTGAATGACAGTATGTAGGCAAAGTACACTGGCTTTTGTCCACGTCATGTTGTAATACTGACTGACTGAGTTTAGTTTTATGCCGCTTTTAGCAATATTCCAGCAACATCACGGCGGGGGACACCAGAAATGGGCTTCACACATTGTGCCCATGTGGGGATTCGAACCCGGTTTTCGGGACGATGAGCTTTTTAGGCTACCCCACGGCCCCTCATGTTGTAATAGGTAGCCTCTGTGAATGAGTTTGGTTTACCAGTATTGAAGTTAAAATCACAGTGTAACATTAGAGTAAGGGAGCTTAGTTTTATGCCACTTTTAGCAATATTCCAGCAATATCAAGGCAGGGGACATCAGAAAAGGGCAATAGCACGCTGGTGATTAGGTGCCTGACTCTGAAAATGTGGGTTCGAATCCTGGAGGTGACTCAACTAAAAACAAGTACTAGACTCTGTACTTTCCTGAGAAGGTGTAATCACAAATATAACATAAGCTACACAGTGTCCAAGCTTGATACTGGATGACAGACTGACATGATCATGTTTGCGACATTTCCCACTTTGGTGAAACCCATTAACTGGTACTAACAACATCAACAGCATTTGGCCTCTGTGTTTGCTGAGACCAGAGACAAAACAGAAAGTCCATCTGATAATAATTATTTCAGTTCACAGTTGTTTTTACTTACATTTTGTAAGTATTTCTATTGTTATTTTAATCCACAAAATACCGAGTTTCAGGATCACAAAATCAAATATCAACAATGCATATTTTCTAATTCATGATTAACAGCTTGGGCTTGTTGAATTTAAGCCTAGAACACTAAAACATTAACAAATACCAACCCCCTGCAACATCCTATAACTGACAGTTGTTGTTTGTTGTTAAACACCTCTCTCAACAAAAAACATGATGGCCATTTTCAGCAATATGATGGCACGTATGTAAATATTTTACTAAATAACGGAGTCTGGACAAAACAATCCAGTGATTAACATCATGAGCAAGAATCTACATTGTTTGGATATGATGGCATGCAATGAATCTTCCCATTGATTCAGATCATCCAATCCATTAAGCCATCTCGTACGATCAGAAGCCAGAGAACAATTCTAACCAAGAATCCCCAAGACGGACAAGTGACGAGATACCTACTTGCATAGCCTGTCTGTTGCGGCCCATCCTATCGTCCCTCATCTGCTGGTAGTCTGGCTGCTCCAACTCCGGTTGGGGACCCACGTCCAGGAGGGGTACAACTCCGCCATTCTCACTCAAAACTGTCAGTTAGTGTTCCACTAGTATATCCATGTGGCTAAATCTGGAAAAAAATAGTTTAAATGAGAAGACTCCAAGCACATGTACTGACTGACTGAGTTTAGTTTTACGCCGCTTTTAGCAATACTCCAGCAATATCACGGCGGGGGACACCAGAAATGGGCTTCACACATTGTGCCCATGTGGGGAATCGAACCCGGGTCTTAGGTGTGACGAGCCAACGCTTTTTAACCACTAGGCTACCCCACCGCCCATCCAAGCACATGTAGCATCTAAAAGTAGATCCATTGAATCATTTCATGGATGATTTGCAGAAACATCACTGAAGATATTCCACATGAAAGGGAGAGTTAAACTGCTTGTTTCAGGGCAAGCCCATGTGCCTCCGATACAATTGTATTGTCCTGAGATTTAGAAGGTGCATAACACTCCTTCTTCTCAGTTCTAGCATCCCTTTGAACAATATTCCAGTTATATCATACCAGTTATATCATACCAGCTATGTCATACCAATTACATCATACCAGCTATGTCATACCAATTATATCATACCAGTTATGTCATACCAATTACACCGTACCAGCCATGTCATACCAATTACATCATACCAGATGTCATACCAATTATATCATACAAGCTATATCATACCAGCTGTCATACCAATTACATCATACCAGCCATGTCATACCAATTATATCATACCAAGTATATTATACCAGTTATATCATACCAGCCATGTCATACCAATTATATCATACCAGTTATATCATACCAGCTGGCAGAGAAAGGAAGCGATGCAGGTCACAGATGTTCACCACTTTGATGAAACCCACAATCAAGTGCTGAAAGACCTAGAAACATACCGGTAATTGGGGCACCAAGGGACAGGAATCAAGAAATATGTTACTGGCGTGCCCAGGGGAGGCAACTCTGCACAGCAAATTGCAACACCTAGTTCAATGGGGCCACCATGCATATTAAGTCGGTGTTGTTCAACACTGTAGTCAGCAACAGTTCAGGTATATCACATGAGCCTGGAAATATTCAAGTCTGGATGAGACATACCAATGACTGAAAGCATGAATGACAGCACATGACATAGGGTCACGCCAACCCACAATAAGCCAAGTTACCAAGGCTGACAGTCCTCTTCTTTCAAGAGGCTCTCATTTCTTCAAGACCTGACATCATGATACATCATTCACAAGTCTCTTCAATAACTGTATGTTTTTCCCTGTTATGGTTTGTTTCTTTATACTATACAATATATTTCTGATAAATTGAGTGGGTACATTGTTATTTATTTATCTACTGCATAAAAATCCATTTTCATAATGTATTAATTATCTTCATTTGTCCTTTGTTATCTACCAGTTACATGGACATGATTTTCTTGTTTGTAAATACTATTTTCACTTTTATCCTGATATAAACTAACAGGTACACTAAAATATTTGATGAAAAAATAAATATCATGAATTAAATATACTGTTTATCACGATACATGCTTTATTACGTCATCAAATGAGGAACTGGTAAGTCATTAAGTATGTGTGTGTGTGTGTGTGTGTGTGTGTGTGTTTGATTGGTCTTAGGACAGTATCATATTTTTGCCACCCCATCCCAACCAAATTTTCATCACCAACACCTCCATACAATAAATGCCAAGTCAGTAAATATAATGTTAAAAATCGTAAAATGAAAATATAGTCATCTTTTCATGCCGCTCCCCTCAACCACAATTATTTTTACATTTTTATTTTTATCATCAGTCCTTCAACTGACAAATGACAAGCCCAAAATCGAATAAATACAAGTGTTTACTTCTTCAGAAAAATATTTACTAATAATAACACAGAAGGGTTCAGCTGACAGCCTCGGGCCGCTCGCCATATTATATGTATCGTATTTTATCTTGTCCTCTGTTTTTTTATGAGAACATGTTCCGAGTTTTTCCCAATTCCGCTTGCATCGTGTGTGACAGTATGATTTGTACATCCCCCGGAATCGTTATTCATCAGTGACACAAACATTGTTAAATCTGTCTTTGTGTTGGGAGCAACATCACAGAACGGTTGTTGACAACAGTTCGTAAACGCAGCATCGGAATCCTACGAAGGAATCCCAAATATTCCACCGTTTACCAACCATAAAAACAAAGCTGCTGTATGACTCATCACTGTTAGCACTTTCATGCTGTTTTTGTTCGTAAAATGTGTGAAAATGCGACAAAACCATGTCATACAAACCCGCGTCTATTCTCCAGATTCAGCTGTCACTGGGCACGTGTGTATTGAACGGTCGCGATGATAATGACAACAACGATGGCCGACTTACCGCAACAACAAGCAGAGCTAACGTTTCTCAGCAGGTGCCCGTGGTAGTTTCGAATCATGTGGCGCTAAATATGAAATTGGCAAGCGTGAATGAAGGCGCAATCTGTATAATGCGATATGAATAATATGTGAAATGGCCAAGAAAATACGTATCATTTAGTCAGTGATCTACTACTGGAATCGACAACCGAGTTGTGATATTGAGGCACCAAGTTCTTAATATGTCGCAAGTGTATTAACAGTGTATGAAATAATGCCCAGATTTCTTACGGACGGTTTAAATTTACAGCTAGCCAGCCCGATGGCCTGGTACACATTTTAGAGATTCCATACATCTGAGTAAATTCACCATATTTGGTCTGGTTAAATTCATTTTGGGCTGGCTTGATTTTTGGTTTATTTCATACACTCATATTAAGTGGAATAACATGTTGTTATGACTGATGAACGTCGAGGGTCAGTGTCCTGGCACTGTCACCGCGAACATATAGTCGGTTAGACTGCTGACGACCACTGATTTTCCTGCGCCAGATTCGATTATTGTACGATATGTTTTGAATCAGAGACCGAAAACGTTCCTCTCTAACTAAAATCGGGATTGTCACGCTTGGAGCGAACGCTTTCACACATTTTTCATTCAGCACTCAGCAATATTCTAGCTATATGGCGGCGGTCTGTAATTAATCCAGAATGGATCAACCAATGACTACTGTTGATCTTACTTGTAACCAATGACTTGGATCTTACTTGTATTGTGTGTAGGCTGTATGTTGCATAACATATTACTTTCAAACAAATATTTACATGTTCTTCTGTGGCATAATACATCTATTATGTGAATGTCCATATACTGTAAAAATATGGAAGGTGTCCGGATGGCTGATATATTATCCGAAGGAAGTATCAACCTCTCTCGTGAAAATATATTATTTGGCTGGAAGGGCAAAAATAATAATCCTCTAAACGTGGTCTTTCTTATTGTGAAATATACACTATATAAGATGAGTTTGAAAAATATGAAGCCAAGCTTTCAATATTTTCAGCGGGAAATATTAAACTATTATAAATCCACCAAATACATTGCCTTTTCAAACGAGAGGCAAACTCAATTTCTTACTTTCTGTTCCTCCTTCCATATACTACTTTCGAATATCATTACTCATGATGTATCTATATAAACAATCGCAGTATATACATGCGGGTATATGCATGTATGTATGTGTATATGTATATATGCATATGTATATGTGTATGCATGTGTATGTATGTCTCCGTAGATGAATATATGTATGTGTGTAGAAGTATATATGAACGCATATGTACATGCACTTAAGGTATATATAGATGAAGTATATGTATGTATATGGAACGGTGTCCCTATTATGTATCAGCTAAGCAATGAATACGATTGAAAATAGCAGAAATCAATACTGTAAAATGTGATATGTATATCGCTTGAAAGTGGTGTGTAACGCAAAAACTGTATTCTATAACATGTAAAAATTGCATTTGATTCTGAAATGCGATGTACAACATACTGAAGGGAAATAAAAATACTTAAAAAATTATTTTTATTAAATGTTCTTCTGTGGCCATTTGGTGAACTGTACTTCATGCTGTAAGAATGAGTTTATGTTCTTCACGTTTTGGACCTGTGAAGATCGGGGTTAGACTTGATTTTCAACAACCCATTCTTGTCACAATAAGTGACTGACTGGAGCAAGTGACTTGTCTCGGTGGCTTGGCTGGCGCATGTCACAGCATCCAATTTGAGAATATGCTCATGATGGCAATCAAATGGATTATTTTGTCTAGACTAGATAATTTACAGACTGCCGTCATGCAGCTGGAATATTGCTGATAGCGGCGCTAAACATATCAATCTTCCATTTTTTGCATGATACACACCGGAAAATCAACTATAGTCTAACCTTCGAAATGACCAGAGCGTATATCAACGTCGATATCGATGTTGGCGTCTAAGAGCTAGGTCTACGCTACTGTTACCTACTTCACAGTGTGACACTACCGAGCGTGTAGTGAACAACAGGTTAAAGCAGCATCCCAGCTCAGAATCCGCCAGTTCTTTATCTCTGCTAACATGACAATCTCCAAGTGGTTGTTGAGAATTGTTCGGTAAATTCTGATGTTAAATGTCAAGAGTACAATGCCTTTATACCCCTTAATATAGCGACTGGAATTACACTTGGTATTTGTTTAAGGTGAGGTGAGGTGAAATTGAGTTTAACGTCGTGCTTGAGAATATTTCGCTCATATGACGACGTGCATGTGAGTGTATGTGTATGTGCGGCTGCTTGTACTAGCCCAGTGCCAGCCCACTGAGATACCATGCCGCAGTGAAGCATGAATACCACACTCAGACACATTATACTGACTCCGAGCCGACCAGTCCTTGTTGTACCCATTAATGCCGAGCGCCAGGCAGGAACCAGCAAGTACCATATTTTAACGTCTTTTGGTATGACGCGGTCGGGGATCGAACCCGCGACCTTCCGCTCTCCGGGCGGACGCTCTAACCACTGCACCACGGAGGCAGTCTATTTTTTAAAAGTAATTTATGACGTATTTGAGCAATCAATTTCGTTTTCCACAAAAGGCCACGTTGGCTTCGTTTGGCTAAACTTTTATTGAAAGTTTGCAGATTCTTTGCTGTGTAGTGCACAACAATTTGAATAAATGAGTTAGTGAGTAAGGAATATCGCAGTAATAAACACCCGTACAGCAAGATCACAGGGGACAAGAAAATTACCTTCACAATCTTCACAACATTTTGAAAATCGGACACCGGGTACCGGGTGTGAGGAGCTAGCATCAATATTCTTTCTTCATCTGAAGGGGAATTCGTCGTGTCAATGTACATTGTTTGTACAAACAAATGTCAAATCGGGTTTGAATAGGTGTACATTTCGAGCAGGTGTTCACCAGTATTGTCACGTGGTTACGATATGAACCAATAGGAACTCACTTCCGGTGCACGAGTTTTTCAAGCGCGTTTATTCAGAAAGGAAGCAGACGTGAGTTGTACTGAACACTGGCCCGTACATTTCAAATCAATTACAACCAAAGGGTAAGGATATATTACTGTAGATACTTATTATTGAAATGTCTACTACGTACGCCCCGCAGTTCACGTTTAATTTAGAATGTAGGTGGGGACGCGCATTATTATGAAAGCTACACACGAAGATACGTGAATTTTGAGGTTTGGCTGAAAATACCGACAGTGTAAGTAACTATGTTCAGATAACATTGTTGTGTAGATATAATGTACAACATAACCACAAACTACCAGTCTAACGTTTATAAGTGATATTAAGTGAGAGGTCTTGGTTAAGCCGAGAGGTTGCAATAGGCGTGTATCTAAAGTCAAATCGCCATTATTCCAGCGTCTGGTTAACGCCGTTCTCAACATCATGCCCCAGGATTGCACCAAAACATTATCCATAAGTAGTGGACATTAACATGCCGGTATAAATATTCACCCAGTAACTACAACTGGACATGTTATAATTGCCATGAATTGTTTTAGTTCATTGGGTAAATCACTATTTACGCTATTTTAACATGTAACCCCTTGTGTAAGGCATAGGTGGATCCTTGGGTGTGTGTGTGTGTCAAACGTGTGTGTGAGTGTGCAGGGATCGACCAGTTTGGTGGTGCTGGAAGTTTGTTAATTGACCATTGAAACTCGGGTGTAAATGAAGTGTGTACCCCCTTTCTCAAAAGCTGCATCCGCCCTGGTAAGTGTGAGGCATGTGCTGAAGCGGCTGTAAAATCTCTTGGCTACCTTTCCATCCACGACTGTCACTGTCACACGTGAGCCGAGAGTTTGCGTACGCAATAGATCGACCAGTTGAAGGTGGATGCCTCGAAAAGCGTCTTATAATTAATTAGTCCAATCAATAAACAACTGAAATGTGGATAACAATGGAGAAAGTCACATGAGAGATAACTTTGTGTAAAACTGTCATCTATGTACCCTATCTATTATTTGACAATAAAACCGATTCATATGCCAGTCGTATAACCCTTGACATAACTGCTAATGCCAGAATCAAATTAATACAATATATTTAATCTGAAAAAATAACGATGAATGGTAATCCACTGAAAAAATATAATAACCCTTCAAATATTCTTGCTTGTTGTTCTTGTTGGTTATTTGCATTGGAATATTCACTCACAACACTGGTCAGCTGTACTGTTTTGCTTCCAGTGTTGAAAGGGGATAAATAATGCTATATAGAGCATCGCACAGACTTTTGTTAATCCACTTGTCAAGCGCAATTTTTATTCAAGGGTTGCGCAGCCTCTCTAGCATATTGTGACACATTTGTAAGATATTCCTGATATTTTTAGGTTTCTCTGAAGTATTCTTCATGCAGAAGTATTCAGTCAATGTACATATTTGTCTCACTCGATCTTGCGGTTCATTACTTTCTGGGATTTTCATTAATTCATGCAATTGTGTCAGATCTTTGTTAGTATAAATGTTTGTACAAAACAACAACAAAACCCAACGTTTTAAACACAGCACAGCCGATGTATGAATACGGAGGTAGTATCTATATAATAGAAATTATCCGGACAAGTTTAGATTTCCCACATGTTGTAAACCTCCCGTCTGGCTCGGGTGCGTTTCAATGTATATTGTGTTTCCTTCAAAGTCTGACTACTAAGCGACATATTAGTATATATAGCTATTGCATTTCCAGATGTTTAAATTTGGTTAGAAACCAAAAGGAACTCAGGACAATACTTTCCTGGTTAAAACCCCTTAATACGACGTAGTCACCTGGTGATATGTTATCATTAGACAATACAACTTTATCAGTGTCCGGCTTAACCTTTTTCATGTAGTAAATGAAATTGAAGTCATCATGATTCACTCCCGGTTTTTTAGACCTACGAGCGCTATTAACTGAGTCATGATTGAGCTTGAATTTTAGACGACAAGATGTAAACAAACCATGTCCTGGA